GTTAATAGAGGGACCCCCTCCCTTGCTGCTTGGGAGGGTTTTGAGCCATCCCCAAGGGGCTGGAGGGTGGCGACAGAGCCGGTTTGGGGACAAGGAGACATCTCGGTGGGGAGCAGATGCACGCAAGGTCCCCCTCCCGCAGTGCTCCCAGAGAGGCGGCCTCCTCCCGCGCGGTCGTGCTGCCGAGGACCCCGCATCTCCCTCTTGGACAGAAGGTCCCCCTCTTCCCCATCGGTGTTGGGGGGGTCCGTCGCTCAGGTGGGCGGAGGGGAAAGCAGCTGCCTCCCCGTCCTGGCCAAGGAAGGTCAGCGGAGGGCTCTCCATTCTGCGGGGCAGAGCCGGCCAGGAAGGGCCCCGGTGGCTGCTTTCTGCTTCCCCTTGCCCTCAACCCCATGGAAGGACTGGTGCACCGCCCGGGTGGCAGCGGACCCTGCCTCCCTCCCTCCCAGCTGCTGTCCGTGCTCTGCCAGGCTAAGGTGTGCCGGAGGATGGTGAGAGGGGGCTGGGCAGAGCCTCCAGCGGGGGGGGGGGGCTGAAGGGGGAGGAAGGGGCCCTGCGTGGTCCAGAGGGAGAAGGCCTCCTTCCTGGCCCTGAGGGAGTGCAGAGGTCAGGCCCGGCCATGAGGTGTACCTGATGTGGCTCTCAGGCTTCTGATTCCTACCACCTGGCAGGTAAAACACCAGTGGGCCCGATCCAAGTGAGTTTTGCTGACCAGGGATCCCACTACCCCCCCCAGTGAACATGCCAGGGATCATTCCCCCAGCATCATTTGGGGAGGGGGGCAGAGGGGACCAATGTGCTAATTCAGCCATGCTGAATTACTGCGGTTTGCCTTCCACATCTCTCCCAGTACCCGGCAACTTGGGTTCTGTGCCACTGAAGAGCAGTTTGATTTTTCATGCCTAGATGGGTGAGCAGGCTGGGTCTGGATTGCACGCTTGCTAAGTTGGTGTTCATTAGTAAGCCTGTTCGTTGAAGAGGAGGGGTACGTGGGGGGAGGCTTCTCCCAGGGAGGCTAGCCTGTCCCTTCCTCCCGAATCCCTTCCTCTTAAGTGCTTAGAGCTTTTTTTTTTAGTGCAGCCGCGAAGCACATCTGCAAGTTCCTGATCTCACCGTTGCAAGAAGGGCATTTGTATTCATACCTTCAGGCCCAGCCAGGGCCGACCCCTCCCTGCCCCTCTTGCTGCTGTCAGCATGATTTAGAGAAACACCAGTGTTGGGACTGACAATTTGGAACAGGGAGATAATCACTCTGTCGGTGCTAAGAAGCCTGGAGGAGGGCTTGGTGGAAAGGAGGATGCTTCCCTGGGATCCGTGGAACATCTGTCAAGGTTGAGTGCTTGTGTAGTTCTGGACTTGAGCAGAATCCCTCCCCAGCCCCTTCTGTTGGTGGTGTTTGTGTGGGGTCTCTCTCTCAGCTCTCCTTCTCCGTATGCAGAGCATGAGCAGCAGAAGGCTTGCCTTGTGAGGAAGGGCAGTCTTTGTATATTGGCTTTGCGCATGCCAGGGGTCACCCAGGAGGGCTTTGGCCAGCTGCTGTGGACAGCAGGATCCTTGTCAAGACTGACCTTTGGCCTGATTCAGCACAGCCTGCTGGGGTGTACCTAGTGCGGTGAATAGTGGTCAGTGACATGTGCTATAAATTCACAAGAGAAGCAATTACCCCCAACTTGCTAGAACATCTTAAATTGTCCACCTGGAGAGAGAAGATACTGGGGCATCCTTGTTTATACCCATTGAGGCTAAGGGCACAGGTGCAGAAGGTATCCCTGCCTTTCCCAAATCGCCCTCTTTCACCAGCTTCTTCTCTGCCCCCTCTGGACCAGGCGTTGGGAATCTCTCCAATACAGCTGCAAATTCTGCATCTGGCAGAGGTTAGCACTAGGAGCTAAAGCTTGTTTTGACCACCAAGAGAACAGGGTCACCTGTGTTGTCAGGAGCACAGGCCATGGAGTCAGGGCAAACACAGCCAAAGGAGCACCACACTTCACCCATGGGCTTGGACCAGGGAAGAGAGAAGGAAGGATGATCCCTTCCTTCTGTCCGAGCTTCAGTAGTTTCCTCCCAGTTTGTGTTTTCCCTCCCCTCTGGAGTGGGAAACCACCAGAGGGACTGAAACCAAAATAACCAGCCTAAGGTCCATTGCAATATTACTCCTCCAGTTTACTCTGGGTTGAGCTTAAGACAAGGCAATCTGAACTTTTTGCACAACGTTATTGTCAGTGGAGGTGAAACTTACAGTTTTCTTCAAGCAATCTTTTCTTTTCGAACACCCATCAGGAGGTTGTTTATTTTAAATCTCTCTACATTGTGTTGTTCTTGACTTGTTTGTCGCTGTGTGAATGGCTGCATTCTGTGTGCAGAGGTGTTCCCTGTGCTGATGTCTTGGCGCTGTGCTGTGTTATGTTTGAAGTGGTGTGGGATTTCCCCATCAGCAAATCATGCTTAAGGTCCAAACTGTTTCCCTTTATTTATTTATTTAAAAAAAATAAACAGTTAGGCTTTAGCACTGCAAAATATAGGCCCTGGAGTCTTTCTGTCTGCAACACTGATGAAGCGCTGTGCCACTTGGAATAAAAAAGGGGGAAAAAAACATAACTTGACCACCTTCTACCCAACTTGGTATATTAACTTGGTTCTTTCCTATGCTGTGTCTCTTGCTTATTCCCCAAGGAGTTTGACTCTGGGCTGGCTGCTTTTGTGTCTGTGTGTACTATGTTCACACATTCCAGATCTATGTTTCTATTCCCCAATGGCCAAGATCGGGCAGCTCATTGCCACTAGATGTCATGCACACAGTGGGTAGAAAATCCATTGTGTGGTGTTAAGACTCGGTTGATGTAGTTTGCTCAGCGGGTTTGTCACTCTGTAGCTAGTTTATTGGAATTGTGGTGAAATACGTGAGGAAGGGTGTGAGATAATTTGTCAGGACATTGTTCTCCACAATCCCCACATGATATGAACCTCCCAGTGGATTATGTTCACTGCATGCAGGGCAATGAAATGTTATGTGGTGATACCAATGCTTTCATACTTTGAAGATCTTCCTCTTGACAGAAAGCACAGAGACCCGGGTCAAATTCTGGAGAAAGCAAATGATTCCCTGCTTTATCATGGAGTCTTCATTCTTATTCCTTGTCCTCTGCCCCTGCAGAAAGATGATATAACTTTGCAAGCAACAAAAAGCACTTTAAAGACTAATGTGCTTTGCTGGGCTTCAGCTTTCAGGGAGTGTAGCCTAAGGACTTGAGATATATGGAATATGGGGTTAGTCAGCAGATATTCATATGCGTTTTAGGTGCATGTGCACAGAACAACAACAGGTACTGTACCTTTAAGTGGTGATCGCAGGAGAGGTTGCTGAGAGATGATAAGGGCATCCTTACGTTGATAAGCAGATTCATGCATGCTTGGTCACCTTCTTTGTTCATTGTCTGAAGCTCTCCGGTGATGCTGCCAGAGTGGAAGGATCAGCCAACAGGGTGTGGTCATTGCCCGGGGGATGCCCAAATGTGTTCACAGTCCTCTGAGAGGCTGCTTCCATGTGGTGTTGAGTCGTCTTTGTCCTATTCAGTTATAAGAAGCTAACTTCTCAGGAGGGCCAAAGAGAATAGTTGACACGACAGGCAGAGAAAATAGCCTAAATGGATTCATGAAACAAACAAGAGTGATAATTACAGACACATCAGCAGAGATGAGTGAGCTGGCTTACATGGGGGGGGGGAGACAAAAATCCTTTGCTCCTGTTGAAGCCGCAGGAGGAAGAGTCAAACCTTTCGTTGGATTCCTGTTCATCTGGTTCCCTTTGGAACCCACCTTTGCAGTGGGAAGGTCCCAAGAGGCCAAAGGCTTGCCATTGTTTGTGATATTTTTAGTGGTGTGACACCGGTAGCATCTACCGTTGCCTTTGTTCACATCTGCGAAAGAGGGCTGGTCTTGCTTTTTTTCAAAAACGGATACCCCGAAGTCAGAGGCAGAACGTCCAGAGAGACCGAAGGGCCTCTTTCTCTCTCCTGTGTGTGCTTTACTTGTAGTGTCACCTTTCTATCCATGCCCTCTCTTGCATGAAAGCTGGCCCTGTGGGACACACAGGACCGTTTTGCGAGCAGCAGGAGAGAGCTCATGTAGCGTTGGTAGACGAGCCTTTGGGTTGGCGGGTGGCCTGCCTTCACTGCTCCTGGAAAGGAGGCTTCAGGGATCCTTACACCCGGCTGCCATTCTCCTGAAACCAATTCCATCCTTGCTGGGGTTATTACCTCTGCAACTGTGTTGGCTGCTTGCCAGCAATGCAGAGGGTGCCTTATCAAGATCTGGGGAAGATGGATGGTCAGGCTGCTGTTTGTCACCATTTTATCCACGGTGAGCAGCACGGGGGTTGCCAGGAGGTGCGAGGGGGGGGCAGGATGTGCGAGTGCAGCAGCTTCGCCTGTGCATCCATGTCTCTATAGAACAGGCCACAACAAGCTAGGAAAATTCGGCTTGACATTTCTAGGAATTGGAGGGACTTGGGAAAGTTACATTTTTCTTCTCCAATTCACAGAATTGGCCAGCTGGCATGGACACAGTCCGGGGCCCATGGTTTGCTTCATGACAACACAGGGTGGGTTAATGGGCAGAGACGCTCTCCTTTACTGGGCAGGCCTGGGCTTCCCTTCAGGCAACTCGTGAACAATGAAAGCGACGTAACCAATGCAATTAAAAACACAGTCAAGATATCATATTAAAATTCTTTAAAATGCACCCCTTAGAGACAGACTACCTCAATTCAGACATCCCATAGTGGACCTTGAATGTCTTAAGCCTATTAAAGGCCTTCCCCCAAAATGGATGAAGAGTCTTAGCTTGCCCACTGGGGGAAGAATCTGAACCATCGTCTGGCACAAGGCCAGTGCAAACATCAAGGACTGGGAGAAGGTAAATGAGGGGCCTGGATGTCGCTCCTCCATATTTTATACCTGGGGCGTAGATGGAAAAGGGGCACACGGGCCACCCACTCATATTTTCACCCCCCCTTACGATGAGCTGTGCTATATTTCCATTTAAAGCATAGCAGGGATGAGCCCTTGAGTCGCACGACTCGCGGCCAAGTTGGACTTTAGTTGCATCAGTGACTCGACGTGGATTCAACTTGGCTTTTCAGTTTTCCAGTGATTCAGACTCGACTCAGCACTCCAAAACACCCCCCCTTCTCTCCCCCCTTTTTTCCTGGGGTTTTAATCAGGACTTGGGGCTTGTGATGCAAGACTCGGTACCCAAAGACGTGCTAACATCCCTGAAGCCTAGTGGCCACTTAGAGGTTTGTGTCTACACTGAATACGGAGGTTGAGGGCAGGACATTTTGGAGGGTCCCCACAAGTTGGAGGGGGTCGGACAGCGCACAAGAACCACAACAAAGTCAGAAATCGGTATCCGTAACTGCCATGTGCATCTGTGCTGAAGGCACTGCGAGCACATTGATATGGGAACAGTGGGGGCATTGGCAGAAGGTTTGGGAGGCCCTCCAGGTATGGCTCTCCAGGAGGACACAGGTGGCCACCTTGCTATCCAGGAGTGGCAAGCTAGCTCCGTTTAAAAGAAGGAGCCCTTGCGTGACACCTGTTTCTCGTATGTCCTCTGGTATATAAAACTCAGCAGGTGGATGGCGTCTTGCCTCTTCAGGTGCTCATGAAGACCCTCTGTGCCGAGCCGTGACAGAATCGGTTCCCCTGTGGCAACGGCAAGATGGCCAACATCACGCCAGCTAAGCTGGATAATATGGAGTGGCAACGGCAAGATGGCCAACATCACGCCGGCTAAGCTGGACAATATGGAGGCCCAGCAGCAGCAACAACAGCAGCAGCAACAACAGCAGCAAAACAACAATACGCGATGGGAAACCACAGACCACCACCACCACCACCGGCCCTGGGACGAAACCACTGCCAGTGCCAAACTCTTTGAGTGCTCACGGATCAAAGCGTTAGCTGGTATGTCGGACACGCTTGTGCCCAAGGCCACCCTAAGACATTTTGCTACCTGAGGCAGGGTGCTTTCCAGCCAAATGAAACCTCGTAGTACCCAAAGCCAGCCAAGTTATTTTATCGCTTGAAGCGAGAAATCCTTCAGTTACTTTCCCCCATCAGGAGCAGTAAACAAACAAGCAAAAACAATATTCGTGAGTTGAAAAGCTAGCAACTGGTTGTCCCTTGGTAATGCACAGAATCTGTCTCATGAGACAGCTGCGTCACCCAAGAAAATGATAGGGCCGGCCCTGCCTGGAAATATCCAGCTTCGTTGTTTCCTGCCCAGACTTGAAAAGGTTTAAAAGAGATGGCTGAACGGAGAACTACAAGTGCACGAGAAGAAATACGAGGAAGAATGGGAGGAGGCTGTGCCTTGGTGGGCTTTGTAGTCACTCCTCTGAAACCCATCATGCAGTGCTGGTGGGAGGGTGTCAGCAGTCTCAAAGGCCTAAATGGACTTAGAAACTCGCTCAGCATGAGTAGCAGACCAGGCACAAGGGGTAGGGTAAAGGTTGTGGTGCTGGTGGTGGTTTTCAGTGTAAAGAGAGACGTAAGATTTGTACAACAATGAGGCAAAATTTGAAGTCCCCTGCCTCCTTTCTTCCTTCACCCCCAATGGGTTTGCCATATCTGGGGCTGGGCCCTGAAATATCAATTTTGTACACATATTTGCCAGAGAAGCTTCCAATGGATGGGGTTGATTGGCCAGTGCCCGTAACATCATCCATTGCCTTCATCCCTGGCCCTGTGGCTGGCATTTCTCTTTCTAGGCAGAAAGAGGCAGGATCCTGTGCATTCTTGCTCCTTTTACTGAAGCTGCCAGTGCTGGCCCCCTACTCCCCATCATCCTTCACCCCCTAGGCAATCTCACCTTGAGGGCCTCACCAGGGTCTGAGTGGTGGCACCTTGAACCTGTACCCCAGAGACCTAACCCTAAAGTTGACCCACTGTGGGTCCCAATCCTTGGCCTGATGGTGAAGGAGGGACTTGGACCCTCAAAGTCTCTTCTCATCTAACTTGCTCAAACTCTGCTAGATGAGCGGGAAGCTGTGCAGAAGAAGACCTTCACCAAGTGGATCAATTCACACCTGGCCCAAGTCTCCTGCCGGATCGGCGACCTCTACACAGACCTTCGGGATGGCTACATGCTAACAAAACTTCTGGAAGTCCTCTCTGGGGAGCAGCTGGTAAGTGAAGTCCCTCAGCAGGAGGTGGGAAAGGTGGTGGTGGGTCAAATGTCCTGGTTTCCAGGGACAGAGAAGGTGGGCCCCCAACCGACGTCATTGTGCCGGTTAAATGGTGCATGCAGAAATTTATTTATTTATTTATTTATTTATTGGACTTATATACCGCCCCATAGCGCTACAAGCACTCTCCGGGCGGTTTACAATTTTAATTATACAGGCTACACATTGCCCCCCCAGCAAGCTGGGTACTCATTTTACCGACCTCGGAAGGATGGAAGGCTGAGTCAATCTTGAGCCGGCTACCTGGGATTTGAACCCCAGGTCGTGAGCACAGTTTTTTTAGCTGCAGTACAGCGTTTTAACCACTGCGCCACGAGGGGAATGCACTCTTATATATGGTCAGAGGCATTTCCTGCTGTGCTGGCGCCCCTTTCCCAGACCATCTGCCCTTCAGAGCAGGTTCTGGAGCTGGGTTCTGTGAACCGAGAGATAACGCTGAAGGGCGTACATGGGGTGAGCTTCATAAACACACCACGCCCTTTCTGTTGGCCCTGGACTGCCCTGCACTCCCTCTCCTCTTCTCCCTCCGGAAGCCCAAACCAACCCGTGGTCGGATGCGGATCCATTCCCTGGAGAACGTGGACAAGGCGCTGCAGTTCCTGAAGGAGCAGCGGGTCCACCTGGAGAACGTCGGCTCCCATGACATTGTGGATGGCAACCACCGCCTGACGCTGGGTCTCATCTGGACCATCATCCTGAGGTTCCAGGTAGGGGCTGCCCGGCCCAGCAGGAGAGGGAAACAGGCATGGATTCTGTCCAGTTTCTGAACCTTTCCTGTCACTCGTTGAGTCTTCAAATGACTCAGATTTGGAAGCACTCTTTTGAAGTCACACAAGGAAGCCAGAGAGGGATGGGCTGAGGAGTACCTAGCCCTCAACAGGGGCATTGCATTCCTTCTTGAGCCTTGGGGATCCCAGGCCCATTCTGGGAATCCAGGGGCAGCCAGGATGGTTTCCAGTGCTGTCACCCAGAAACAGCTGACTGCATCCTTCTGTAGAGAAGATCTGACCCATTTCTGGGGAAAGCGGCCTTCTTGCTTATGGTACTGAGATGCAGACAGAAGCTGGCAGCTCCTACTTCCATGCGGTGCACCCTGAGATTGGCCTCATTGCCTGGAGAAGCTTAGCAATGCCCTGAGATTTTGGATACCTGTGACCTGTCAGCCATACCACTGGCCTGACAAGCTGCCAGGTGCATCTCAGGATTTGGCCCCAAATGGCCAGGTAACCCTAACCTTGGGAGGGGATGAGAAGCCATGCTTACAATCCTCCTCCTCACTCTCCCCCTGGTTCTCTCCCCAGATCCAGGTGATTAAAATTGAAACTGAAGACAACAGAGAGACTCGCTCAGCAAAGGATGCCTTACTGCTCTGGTGCCAAATGAAGACAGCTGGGTAAGCGGGGATGGAGTGGGACCTGGAAGCACTCTTGTACCAGCCTCCGAGCCACACATTTTATTCATGAAATAAAATATGTACATATGTGTAAAGACTGGAATGCCAAAAGGACTAATTTGGCTCTGGTGGCTTCGACCCCTTCCAGGCGGTCCTGTGTGGCGGCCTCATGCCCTGCTCTCGCTGACCCCTTTTTTCCTTCCCAGGTACCCTGAAGTGAACATCCAAAACTTCACCACCAGCTGGCGAGATGGACTGGCCTTCAACGCCCTCATCCACAGGCACAGGTGGGCAGGGCAGCAGCCACCCTAGAAGAGCATGGCGTCGGTCAGGCTTGCAAGACCAACGGTCACTCAGCTTGCCCGCCAGGGCCCCGTGCCCGACATGCCCCTCCCGAGTCCCGATCAGGGGACGGGGCCTGTGTTTCAACAAGCAGGCTGGATTCTCTGGCAGTCGTTTCCAAGTTGGGGACAGGAAGTCTAATTAGTCACGCCAAATGTTCATCTCGGTCTGTCTAATAATGGGTGTCACGGGGAGAAGATCTGGAAGAGGCTTGTCATGCAGGCTTGGTGTCAACAGGGGAAGGTGGGCAGCTACAGGTTTGCTTGCTTACTGCCCTCAGTAAAGTCCCCTCTTTTGTGTCTGAAATCCTAAAAGTGTGTGCAAAAGAGGGAGTTTTCACCGACTGGGCCTCTTCTTCTTCAAACTGCAGGCCAGACATCATTGATTTCAAGAAGCTGACCAAGTCCAATGCAGCCTACAACCTCCAGCAAGCCTTCAACACCGCTGAGCAGCAGCTGGGACTCATCAAACTGCTGGACCCAGAAGGTAAGGTCCTCGGTTGACCCTCCGCGGAGACCCTTTTGCCCTGGGATGAGCCCGTGGAGCGCCGTGGTCCCGGTTCCCTGCCCTGGGTCCTGGGGAAAGTTCCCCATCTTCCTTCTTGCTTTTGAATGCTTCCGCTTGTCTGTCGGCTGCTTTGCAGCCAAAGCCAGCTGTGATCTCCTTAGTCTAATCTCATCTCGCTTGATCTGCCATGATCTGATTGGTCTTAATCTGATCATCCCAACCGGGGGCCCTTTTAATATGCTTTGCTCGCTTTTAATTCCTGCTCCCAGATGTTTTACTCTCTTCCCAAGCTTCCTGACAAGCTGTTCTTTGCTAAGGCCCCTTCCAGAGGGATTCCTGCACTCGACGAAACGTGAGAAACGTCGCCCGCACCATCGTGCATTAGAACTCCCTGCATCAAAAGAGTTTGCCCTCTTTCTAGACACAGAACTGCAGCCTTTGCTGAGCTTCACTCTCTGAAAGCACAGTGGCCTTTTTCTGCCTGCTGCTTCAGTGCAGTTAAGAGAGTGGTTTTTCTGTCTTCCTTCTCAGCTACATTTTAAAGTTTCCCGGTGGAGGTGCTCAGTGTTCCTCACTGTAAGATTATGACCAGCAGCTTCTCACGGGATTGCCACACGCTTTTCCCAAAAGGGAGATCTGAGGACAGCCTAACCTTGAGAGGTGGAAGCTGCTCCTTCCCCTCCTTAAACACCAGCCCAGCATCTGACGTGTTCAGCCAGATGAGTCCTTGATTCCCTTTGAAATTGTGAATCGTTGCGCCTTTTGCCTCTTTATTTTCTCTCTTCATGCCAACGTTGCAATGGTAACACCCCTGTTTCTGAGAAGTGTAGCCCACCCAAAATGTAATCCCCACCCACACTGGATGGGGCAAGTCGAATCCAACTCAAGGCATTGAATCTCAGCGAGTGTCCCAGATGCCAACCTGCATTTTATCCCTGTCTTCAGTGTCGGACCCCTTGTCTCTCCTTCCACGAATCCCCTCCCCATTTTCTATTCCAGATCTTAACATGGAGCATCCTGATGAAAAATCCATCATCACCTATGTGGTCTCCTTCTACCATTACTTCTCCAAGATGAAGGCCCTGGCAGTGGAAGGGAAGCGGATCGGGAAGGTGAGTCCTGGGCGGAAGGAAGGAGGGCAGGTGGATGCTCCTTGCACCGACTAAAAAGCTACAAAGCTAGCTTTGATCCAGGAAGGCCAGCTGATTGTATGGTATTTATTGGTGGTCTAATAAAGGTATCCGTCTGTATAGCTCAGTGGTTTAGGTACCTGATTGTGGAGCCGGACACTGGGAGTTCAGTTCCCCACTGTGCTTCCCAAGAGAAAAGCCAGCCTGTGCAGGCTACCCAGGGATGAGTACAAAGGACATGTGCTAAATGAGCTCAGAATGGTCAGTGAAGCCATGAAGCTAAACCGGCTGGCCAGGAGGGTGAACCCTCTCCCACCATTCCAGGACCTGTTGTTCATGGGCCATTGACAGGGATGACTGAAAGTCACTAGAAGATATTAATGGTTCTGGATAAATTATATGGTGGAGGATAGGTTTTGCAAGCAAGATCTGGAACCCTTCTTGAGGACCTGTTCTACCTAAAAGCATTCCGTGGTTTCTTCCTCTGTGAGTGTGTCCGAAAGGTGGCTTCTTGCCCTCCAGGTGGTGGCTGGAGCCCCTGTTTTGTGCTCTCCCATTCCTGCAGGTGCTGGATCAGGCCCTGGAGATCGAGAAGATCATCGAGCGCTACGAGTCCCTTGCTAGTGAGTTGCTGGAGTGGATCGAGCTCACCATCACCATCATCAGCAACCAGAAGTTTGCCAACTCCTTGGCCGGGGTTCAGCAGCAGCTGCAAGCCTTCACGGCCTTCTGCACCTTAGAGAAACCTGTCAAGTGAGTGGCCACCCAGAAAGAGGTTTGGAGCAGCCACCCATTCCCTGGGATCTCAGAGCCTAGCCTTGAGACCAGGGGGTGGGGCCTTGTGATGTCACAGAGGAGAGGCAGGCAAGGTTTGGAAGGGAGACCTGCACAAAACCGCACAAATATTATTGTGACGAGTGAGTCCTGATGCCAGCTGGGAATGGATGGGGGCCCAGTCTTTACAACCCCATGCACAAAAATAAAACCATATCTTTTTGAAGCACCACATGCTTCTGAAATTTGTTTCCTTGCTTCGAGTCCTAAGCAGGCATTGCAATTTCTCAAGTTGGTTCCAAGATCTTCAGCAGCCATTGGGCACGGCTCCTGGTGGGTGGACGCAGAGGCAGCGTCCTGAAGTGCTCTCTCCCTCTCTCTCTCTCCTGCAGGTTTCAGGAAAAGGGGAATTTAGAAGTCCTGCTTTTCTCCATCCAGAGCAAGCTCCGAGCCAATAACCACAAGCTCTACGTCCCGAAAGAAAACAAGAGTATTTCCGACATCAATAAGGTAGGAGAGGAGACACCAGGTGGGTGGGTGGGAAGGCAGGGGTGGCCAGGGGCTGCCCGGGGGCTTTGGAGGACCACTCCGTGTCTCCCCCTGTTCCTTGGCCAGGCATGGACGAGGCTGGAGAAGGCTGAGCACGAGCGGGAGGTGGCCTTGCGCAACGAGCTGATTCGGCAGGAGAAGCTGGAGCGGCTGGCCCAGAGGTTCGACCACAAAGCCGCCATGCGGGAGACCTGGTTGAATGAGAACCAGCGACTGGTCTCCCAGGTAATGGGAGGGCTTAGCCTCGAAGGGGCAGGGAGATGGAAGGAACACGGAGGGAAGGGAAAGGGAAAAACTTGTGTGGGTGAGAGGGGGTACCGAGGGAGGTGGCGCCAAGCCATGGAGCAAAGGCCTTCCCCCCCCTTCTAGAAAGCAGTGACAGGACTCAATGCATGACGCAAGAGACATCCTGGCCTAAGAAGGTTGCAGCCAGCCGGTGAGAGAATAGGTCGCAGTCACGGTAGAAATAGCGGTGGGAGTCATAAGGAGGCAAAGCCTTGCTGGTCTCCCCAAAATTGTTCTCGCCACCTGCAGAAGAGTGAGGAATTACGTTTTTCTGGCCTGGAAGCCATTCCTCCAGATCTCATCTTAGGCCCCAGGCCTTGTTAGCGTTTCCTGGGGGCCCATGAAAAGCACCCTGTGCAAGCTCAGGAACCCACCTGCTGCTCTTCATGTGTCTGATTATCCTGTTCAGCTCCTGCTTAATGGCGTGACCTTCTTCCCTTCTTACCAGGACAACTTTGGCTACGACCTCCCTGCGGTGGAGGCTGCCATGAAGAAGCACGAGGCCATTGAGGCGGACATCTCCTCCTACCAGGAGCGCATCCAAGTGGTGGTGGAGCTGGCCCAGGAGATGGAGTCGGAGGGCTACTATGACAGCAAGCGCATCAACGCCCAGAAGGACAGCGTCCTGCGCCAGTGGAACCTCTTGACGGAGCTGGTCAGCGCCCGGCGAGACCGGCTGGAGCAGAACCTGGCCTTGCAGAAGATCTTCCAGGAAATGGTCTACATGATCGACTGGATGGATGAAATGCAGGTGAGGGCGCAGTTTGGGAGGGAGGGAAGATCTTCCAGGAAATGGTCTACATGATTGACTGGATGGATGAAATGCAGGTGAGGGTGCAGGGGAGATGGAGCTACAATCCAAGACAAAGTTCACTCTGAAATATCCCCGTTTTAACCTCAGTGATTCAGCAGGCCTTCCTCCTCAAGCAAACCTTCTGTTGGCACTTGCATGGATTGTGCTGCTGAGTCACCCGGGTACCTCCATTTTGGGCTACAACCCCTGCTTACCATTGGGCAGCTCGACACACAGGGTGGCTGTACTCAAGCAAACCTTCTGTTGGCACTTGCATAGATTGTGCTGCTGAGTACCCGGGTACCTCCATTTTGGGATACAACCCCTGCTTACCATTGGGCAGCCAGACACGCAGGGTGGCTGTGCACCCTCCCTCTTATGTCCATTGAGGCATCGTACCCAGCATGGCAAGTTCTGGGAGGAGCTGGCCGTTTTCAACCATGTCCAGAGACAGGAGCTGTAGGGAGCCCCCCAGGTCTCCACTGTCCACCCCCTCGTGGCACCACCAATTCAGGTCTCTCCCTCTGAACCTTCCCTGGCAGGCCCAGCTGGCATCCAAGGACTTTGGGAAGCATCTCCTGGAAGTGGAGGACTTGCTGCAGAAACACAACCTGCGGGAAGCCGACATCTCGGCACAGAGCGATCGCGTGCAGGCCCTCAACGTGGCAGCCCTCAAATTCTCAGAGCTGGCAGGTGAATGTTTAGCATGTATTCCCCCCTCCCCGAATGCCCCTTGGCCATATGGGTGTAGGATGTGAGCTCAGGGCATCTGGGCCAAAGCCCCAAGCCCTATCGCTTGACCCAAGGAGGGATCCGAGACCTGCCTGTGTGCAAGTGAACACCTGCAAAAATGCAGGCGGGAATCTCAATGGTGCCGGTTGGTACCTGTTGTGGTTGATGGAGCAGAAGGCAAAGCAGCCAGGGAAGGGCAGAGCCACGGTGGACAGGGAAAGCCGGGGGAGGGGGAGGAGAAAATATTCACTTATAACACACAGACAAGGGAAGGAAAAGACTGGCCTTCAACGCAGCATGCCAGCGTTTTCCTGAACTGAGGGTCTTGAAATTAAACTTTACACCCAGATAGAAGTGTTCTGATCTGGAGGGGGAGAGAGCTGGGCCGTGCCCTCATTGTCTGCATAAACCAGCCTTCCCTTTGCATTCTGGAGGAGGGGACACCAAGAGGTGCTTTGCAGGGGAATCTTGTTCTGGATGTTCTCTCTTCCTTGGCTTTCTCCCCTGCTCCCCTCTGCACCTCCCTCCTTTACTCCCTGGGAATGGCTTCTCCCCCTCCCCACTGCCATACAGGCTACCAGCCCTGTGACCCTCAGATCATCTGCAACCGGGTGAACCACGTCCAGAGCTGCCTGGAGCAGCTGCAGGAGTTGGCCTCCAAGCGGCGCAAGGAGCTGGAAGCCTCCCGCCAGCTGTGGTCCTTCTTCCAGGAGATGGAGGAGGCCGAGGCCTGGGCCCGGGAGAAGGAGCGCATCCTGTCCTCCTCCCAGGGCTATGGCAAAGACCTGAACAGCGTGGCCAAGCTGCTCAGCAAGCATAACATCCTCCTGGGGGAGCTCGGGGGGAGGCGCTCCCTGTTGCAAACGGCCATGAGGCGCGGGGAACAGATCCTTCTGCAGAAGCGCTTTGGCCCCGGCAACATCCAGGAGAAGATCCGGGAGGTGCGGCTACGCTGGAAGAAGCTGGAGGAGCACGCGGCATCCCATCTGCAGAAGCTGCAGGAGGCCTCCAGCTTCCACCAGTTCAGCGCTGACACGGACGACCTGGTGGTCTGGCTGCAGGACGCTTACCGCCTGGTCTCCAGTGACGACTTTGGCCACGACGAGTACTCCACCCGGTCACTGGTCAAGAAGCACAAGGGGGTGATGGAGGAGATTGACAAGCACCGGGGGGCTGTCCTGGCCTTGCGGAAGCAGCTGGCCACCCTGGCCCCCGACTACCACGAACTGGTGGACGTCCAGATCCGCATTGTGGAGGTGGAGCAGCTCTACGGGGAGGTGGCCGAGGTGGCTGTGCTGCGGCGCCAGTGGCTGCAGGACGCCCTGGCTGTCTACCACATGTTCAGTGAGGTCAATGCCTGCGAAGTCTGGATCGATGAGAAGGAGCAGTGGCTCAATCGGATGGAGGTGCCTCAGAAGCTGGAGGACGTGGAGGTGGTGCAGCACCGGTGAGCAGGAAGAAGCTTCCAGTGGCCCCCAAACTTGAGCTGGACTGCCATTCTCACAAATCCTGGCTGGCACCGCTAGCAATGAAGTGGTAGTCCAAGAACTCCTAGGTTACCCAAGGTTCTAGACTAGAGGTTCCCAAGCTTGGTCAACTGAGGTGTTCTCAGACTGCCACTCCCAGAAATCCTGGCTGGCACCACTAGCAATGACAGCTTCTGGGAGTCCAAGAGCATCTGAGGACTGCAGGTTGGAAACTACTGGTCTAGAGCAGTGGTCCCCAACCTTGGGCCTCCAGATGTTCTTGAACTACAGCTCCCAGAAACCTTCACCACCACCTCTGCTGGCCAGGATTTCTGGGAGTTGAAGTCCAAGAACATCTGGAGGCCCCAAGGTTGGGGACCACTGGTCTAGAGGAATCTTTTCACCAAGAAGTTATTCCACTGGGGGTGTGGGTGGGCCTTAAGGGAATTTGTGGGAGGCCGCTGGGGAGGTACCAAGAAGTCTCCAAAGAGGAGATGCAAGATTGTCCCACTTGCTGTGGGACAAGCTTCTAGTGGTGGGAAGCTCAGCTACTGTAGCTAGGAGAGAAACCTATGCAAATGGTGCCCCAGTATTGCCATGCCAGTTAAATGTCCAGGAAGGGGAAGGCATGGCTGATCACACTGAACGCCACTGAAAAGTCCATGGGAATCAAAAGAAAAGGCACCTCTCTGTCCAGTAGTTTCCCCCCCCCCACATCCCCTCTCCTGTCCTCTACCATGGAGACCAAGACAATTTTTGAAAGCCAGGTCAGAAACCAGGGTCAAGAAGGGACCAGATAATCTGTTCCATCCAAGACCATCTGGACTTGATAAGGGAGGTCATAAATCTTAATATTAGGCCAGGGTGCTTCCTCAAAAATTGTACACTACATTTGGAGGCCGTTTTTCCATCTCAGCCATTATGACTTGAAGGCCTCCTGCTTTCTTTCTGCTCAGGTTTGAAAGCCTTGACCAAGAGATGAACAGTCTGATGGGTCGTATCCTGGATGTCAACCAGATTGTGCAGCAGCTGGTCGATGGGGACCACCCAAGTTCCTCTGAGGTCCGATCCTGCCAGGACCACTTGAACGGCAGGTACGAGCTGCTCTGGGTCTCACAACCCTTCGGTTATGGTTCGGGTTCATATGGAAAGAAAGAAGCAATGGGCGTGTCTTCAGACACAGAGGGGCTCTCCTTTCTTTGCAGAGCAAGGAAAGGGTCTCTAGGGGAGTAGGATAGAGGCTCACAGCCTGGACCCAGCCAGGCCACTGGGCAAATAGACTATTTCATGGTGCCCCTCCTCTTCCATATTCCAGCTTCTGTGTGCCTCTGAGTTCACCACATCTCCTTCAATCTCCTCTCTTAGCCTTTGCCCCTACCCTGAGGGCTAGCCGTTGCTGCCCTGATGGTATTGGTGCATTGCCCCTGAACAGTAGAGAATGCCAACATTTTCTGAATGAAGCTGTCCCTGTCTTGCTTGTCTCTCATTGTGTCAGGAGCCGTAAGACCCCACGATGCCTCTTGCCAAGAAAAAAGCACATGCATACCCCCCCATCTGTGAGAAATATGCTGCTCATGATACGCATGCAAGCCTACGCACAGCTACATGGCTGCTGTCACACACATGCCCCTTCCTTGCAAACTGCAGTGGAACTAAAATCTCTGCTCCCCACAACTCGCCAATGCATTTCTTAGCATTTTTCCCCCCAGCTAGATTGAAGCTTGCATGTAAGTTCCTGGATCAGAGGTATGCGAAGGAAAGGGAACACACACGCATCAGAACTCTCTGCTCTAGTTGCCTCTGGCTGTTCTGAGTCACCAGAGGTGACCAGGCAACCCCCTGATCATAGCCCTGGTCTGACTTTGTGCTGCTTGGCTGCATCTCCCTTTCTTCCACCCTGTTGGTGGGGATGGCTAGGTGGAACCGGGTGGTGGAGTTGGTGGAGCAGAAGAAAGACCACCTCAATGCCATCCTCAAGATCCAGAACTACCTGCTGGAGTGCAACGAGATCAAGTCCCAGATCCGGGAGAAGCGGAAGGCCATCGAGTCCACCCAGTACAACAGCGGGGACCTGGGCAGCGTCCTCTCCCTCCAGCGCCGCCTCTCCACCATGGAGGCCACGCTGGTGGTCCTGGAGCCCCGGCTGATCGAGCTGCAGCAGGAAGGGGAGCTGCTGGCCAACACCCACCCGGCCCAGGCCATGGAGATCCTGATGCAGTTTGAGGAGATCAGTGAGGAGTGGGAAGCCTTGAAGAGGACCCTCCAGGGCTGCGAGGACTCGCTCACCGTGGCCAGCAGGTTAGTTAGAGGGAGAGGGGGAATGGGGAGCAGCCGCTCGCATAAGGACAGAGGCATTTGGGTCGGGGATGGGGGGGGAGAGGGTTACGAAGCGGGAGGGGGTCCACGTTCAAATCCTCACGGGGCCGCAAACTGCCTGGGGCGACCTTGAGTTTGTCCTGCTCTCTGTTTCAGCCTCTCTTACCAGGGCCCACCTCACAGGGCTGCCGTTCCAGGATAAAGTCGTGGGAAAGAGAACCTTGTATGCTGCTCAGAGCATATAAGGACACGTTAGGGTGACCATTCAAAAAGCAGAGGATAGCAGGAAGGCAGAGGGCAGAAGCTTAATAGAGGTGGGCATTAGAGCTGGACGAGGGATGGGCATCGGGAGAGTCTCGGCCTTGTCACCAATTCATCATAGAATCACAGAATGATGGCGTGGGGAAGGGGCCTCTTAAGGCCATCGAATCCAGCCCCTTGCACAAGGCAAGAACCCAGAGCAGAGCAGAGCTAGCAGAAGGTGGTTGAGTTTTCTCTTGAATGCTTCCAGCATTGGAGTGTTTACTACCACCCGAGGCTGTTGGTTCCGTTGTTCTACTGCTCTAATAGTTAAGAGGTTTTTTCCTGATCTTCAGCCAAAATCTGGCCCCCTGTCACTTGAGCCCATCCCTGCTCTCTGGGATGATGGAGAACAGATCCTGCTCCTCCTCTATAGGACGACTGTGCCCAGGGAAGATGTTCCGTGACTTTCCCTGGGTTCCCTCCTCCCTTTCCAGGTTGCAGCAGTTCATCCAGGACCTAGACACCTTCCTGACGTGGCTGGTGAAGACGCAAGCAGCCGTGGCCTCCGAGGAGCTGCCGGGCAACCTGTCCCAGGCCGAGCGGCTGCTGAACCACCACGCCTCCCTCAAGGAGGAGATCAACCGCTACGAAGAGGATTACACCAAGATCCAGGCGGTCAACGATGTCTTGGCTCTGGAGGAAGCCGACCTGCCTTACCTGTCACTCCAGCAGTGGCTGCAGAAGCTGGACGTGGGCTGGAACAAACTGCTGGAGATGTGGGAGAACCGCCGGGAAGTCCTGGTGCAAGCTCACATCTTCTTCCTCTTCCTCCGTGACGCCAAACAGGCCGAGGTCTGCTTGTATAACCAGGTAATGGGTTCAGGTGTCCTCTGTCCTGACCCCTGGGAGATGTGCTGAAAAACGAAACAAGCCCCAAACCCTCTCCGCCTGGGAAATCCAGGCGTTCCACACCCAGAAAAGCAGCCTTCTGCCAATGCCCGGTTTTGTAACGCCTCCTGTTTATTTTGCCTCCTCCGTCCTGGCTTCTGCTGGTGTCGAGGGCAGGGCCTCGGGTGCCCCCAGATGCTGCTCCGTTTGTTCAGCCCGCTTCATTTGCCTGCAGAGAAGCTCAAGGGTGGCTTTCAAACCACACAGCCAGAAGGGTTAGGAAATGGCTTGAAAACGAAATGAAACCAGAAAGCCCCAGGAAGCGGAGATCTGCCTCTCATACCCGCCGGAGAACACAGAACCGCCTGCCCTGTGGGCCTCCGCAGTCTTGAGGTGGTCCTCGGTTGACCATCTCTGGACTTCTCCCTTTGACTTGTTTACCCCTTCAAGGGGATAAGAAGAGGAGGAAGGGAACCACCCAGGGTTTTCAAGGGTTAAATCACCCTTGTAGGTATCCATCCAGTTTCATTCAAAAAGTTAGGCATCCATCAATCTCGAAAGACTATGGTAACGTGCTCTGTACGGAGGACTTGGGGTATCCTCTCCAGAGCACGAAGCCTGGGCAAAACAACATGGAGGACAGGCTGTTACCCAAGCAGCAAATTCCCCCTCTCCACGTTGCTGAAATACTGTTCTCCAGTGGAAAGTCAAGAGCCCATACAACTGGTTCCAGCGACGTCGCAGGAGTTGCCAGAATGACACGAGCTGCCTCCGGGACTCCAGCTCCAGATTTTGCCTTGAGGTTAACTCCTGAAGCCTTTTCCATAACTGGATAAAGCCACAAGGCAGTGGAGGTTTGAAATCGGAGTTTTGCTTCTCCTAGATGGGCTGCCTTCCAGGGCTGATGAACCCCACCTATCCAAAAAACCTCTCTTTTCCTTCTCCTAGATGGCCTGCCTTCCCAGGGCTGATGAGCCCCACCTATCCAAAAAACAAAAAGCCATGACCATCGGATCCATAGCTAATCACAACTGATTCCCATGAGTTCTAATGCCCCATCCATCATCCTTCTGGGAAACTCAGATGTTTTGTGTTCTCAAAAACAGTTATTCTCCCATCCTGCTTTTTGTTTTTTGTTTTGTGTTGTGAGTTTTTTTGGGGGGTGGGACCTTGCATGTAGACCACCTTGCTGGATTTCCTTTTCTTTTTACTTCTGCGTAAAATACTATGTACAGGTTTTCCATCACCTCCCTCTGGCCGGTTGCTCAAAAGAGTCACATAATCAATTCCGGCGTCCAAGAAAAGCTTGAGCTTCATGATGACGAGGACGAGAGACCTAAAAAGACAGAAGTCTCTTTCGGTTCTGCTAAAAAGCCGATAAAGCCAGAGAGGTTGATCGATCCGATCGGCAATCTAAGCTATGTCTCACCCTGGTTGCCTCCTGGGTCTACCGATGCTGCTGCGTGGAGCAGGATCCCAGGATCCGGCCTCTCCTCCTGGCATTTTAATCCCTCATCCCTTGGTAGCCTCGCAAAGCAGCCCTCAAGTGCAAATCATTCCGCCTTAGCAGATGTCAAAGGGTTTTGGGAGAGTTTGTGCCACTCCAGCGCCCAGCTGTGCATAGGCTCACGCACCATTTAATCAGCTTGGCGAGTGCTTTGCAAAGGGGGGGGGCTTACACTGAGCCCATGCCGAATGCCACATGATGGTCCAGGGGGCCTTTTGGCACCCAGTCAGGAACCAAATTTATCCAAGTGGTTTGGGAATAGCAGGCAGGCGCTCCATCCCCACAGCACCCCCTGGCTTTTGCCCCAGTCCCCTGGCTAGGAATCATGTGCTCCTTTCCCTCCTTGATCTGCCCTTAGGGGGCTTGGAGCCTCGTGCATCATAGCTCGGCTTCTTACATTGCAGACGGTGGTTTCCCCGAAGGCCTTGGGGAGTCGTTGGCCTATTAAACGGCTTTGAAATCTATTAGCTCTCCTGCTTTCAACCAAATAACAGGTTCATTAACCAATTAAAACCCATGTGGCAGTAACTCAGGCAGATGTTGTTTGGAGGAGGCTGTTAAAAGACACCGGGCAGGCAAAGCGCTCCCATCGTTTGAGAAAGCGTGGATGATTTCTTGGAATCAAGCACCAGGAAAAAAAAGTCAGTTCATGAGAGGGCAGAGCGAGAGAGGACCTACCATGTATGTGCCAGGGGGAGGCCCCACTGCCAGGCTTAAAATGATCAGTAGGCAGTGCCCGTCAGCCAATGGGCATGGACAGAGAGGTCTTCCTTGTGCATGGGTGGGAAGGAGAGAGGAACAGACTGAAGCAGTGCCTTCTTCATCCATGTGTGGCTTTTCAGCTCCCCCCTTCCCCATGCCACTTAATGGAGACCAGATGTAAAATGGCACAACAGAGCGTCGGAGTCAGGGTGCCCCATGGGCCATGTGGGAGGCCCCATGCCCAGCAACAGCCGTCCTGGTTTGAGTCAAGGTTTCCACTCTTGGGGGAAACCACTTGGATGGAATCTCTTGGCACTGTGGGAAATCTCACGCAGCAGAGCTGGAACTAATCCATGGGTTTCCCACCTTAACGCCTCTGCACTTTCCAAAGGAGAAGGTATTGCTGGAGAAAATGGTAGAGAGACTAGGAGAGGCATCTCCTTTTTCAGACGAGGTGGCACAAGCCAGTCCAGTTCTGTAGAAGCTCTTGGCAGCTCCTGGCATTCTTGCATCCCATTTCTGGAAGGGATGCAACCCAATGGCTAAGTGGGTTAGTCCATGAGACAAGGGAGAGAACACAACACATTGCGTTAATATTAAGCCAGAAATCTGATCCATCTAAATCAGTGCTGCGAACTCTGGTTGGCAGCAGATGTCTCAACTTTCAATGAAGGCTTCTCTCCTTACCAAGAGTTCCCAGATATTCCACCCAAGTACTAACTACCTCTGACACTGCCTAGTTATCCAAAACTAGATCATCTCCATGTGCACATAAAGGCATTTCCCTGGATTCAAAACTGGCAGCTGTTGAACACGACTGCCTTGGGAATGACCTGAAATCCAGAGCAGGGCAAAAAGTGGAAGGGCCAGACTTGGCCCAAAGGACTTTATGGGTGGGGTTGGAGGAAACCCAGGATGCATGCAGAGAGTTATGGAATATGACCACCACTTACCACTTTGTGGAAATTGTGGATTTTATTCAGCTGTTTTCTCAGTTGGGAGTGATTTACTTGTGTCTGAGCAAGTTGTCATAGTAGGTGTGGAGTCTCATATACTTCCATTTGATGCAAGCCTGTTTTTTTTAAAAACAGCTTGCAAACGGTCCTGGGATTTTCTTCTATTCCTGATTCCATTTCTTTTGTCTCCATCTCTTTCTTTTCTAACATCCAGGTCTGAGTACTGTAATATATTCCCCATAGGGCTAACCTTGAAGACAGTGTGGAAACTTCACTTAGTGCAAAATTCTGCTATATGTCTTACAGGGGGAACATATTCTAGCTACATTCAGTGCATTGGCATTCAGATTTTAAAACCCTTCACAATCTCATGACCTGGTTTATTGGGCAGGTGGTGACAGAGCATACATCCAGGTCTGAGTACTGTAATATATTCCCCATAGGGCTAACCTTGAAGACAGTGTGGAAACTTCACTTAGTGCAAAATTCTGCTATATGTCTTACAGGGGGAACATATTCTAGCTACATTCAGTGCATTGGCATTCAGATTTTAAAACCCTTCACAATCTCATGACCTGGTTTATTGGGCAGGTGGTGACAGAGCATACGAGTAATGTCTGATTCCATTTCTTTTGTCTCCATCTCTTGAATAGATAAGATCTGAATGCATTGATCTGCTATGCTTTTCTAACATCCAGGCTTGACTACTGTAATATATTCCCCATGGGGCTACCCTTGAAGACAGTGCGCAAACTTCACTTAGTGCAAAATTTTGCTATATGTCTTACAGAGGGAACATATTCTAGCTATATTCAGTGCATTGGCATTCAGGTTTTAAAACCCTTCACAATCTCATGGCCTGGTTTATTGGGCAGATGGTGCAATCTCATGACCTGGTTTATTGGGCAGGTGGTGACAGAGCATACGAGTATTGTGTGTGTGTGTGTGTGTGTGTGTGTGTAGGGGTCTTCCAGCTCCACATGTTTTTTCTACAGCTGGAATGTGACCAGCCATTCCCTTCTGGGACTCTTGCAGGAAGCCACACTGGCACACGCCAAGGTGCCCACAACGGTGGAAGCTGCCGAGAAAGCCATCAAAAAGCACAAAGACTTCATGACCACCATGGATCTCAACATGCAGAAGATCACGATGGCCCTCAAGGCGGGCGAGAGCCTGATCCGTCAAGGCAACATCTACAGCGATCGTGTGAAGGAAAAAATGGAGGCCCTCCAGGCAAGGTAAGGAGGAGACAACGCACCCTTGATCTGCTGGGAATCATAATAGTAGCACAAGAGATGCCCCCGCATGGGAGAAAGGTGAAGGATTATTTATGATTCCCATAGATCTCTTCCATGGAAGGATACTTTGTCTGCCATTTCGTCCAACCAGGAGGAACTGCCGGCCTTCATGGTCTCCCTCAGTAGATGGTTCGACTCATGCTCAAGGTGGGGCGCTGGGCACCTAAGTGCCAGCAGGTCAGGTGGGGAGGCACAAGGCAAATCGAAGGCTGTGCCATTGAGGAGTGTGAGTAGCAGAGCAGATAAAAGGGGTTCTGCTCCCAATGCCCCTGTCCACTACTCTACTAGCTCAAGTGGGCATTGGTCACCACTGGCAACCCTCCTGGCAAAAAAACACAAAGAAGAATACAGGGCTGTATAAATCCTGAGTCTTAGATGTACCTCACCAGTAGTGAAAAGTGAGCTTTCAATAATTCACCCTGCCTCGTTTTGTTAATTTTGGAGGCAGGGGGATTAGAAGCAACCTCTTCCAATCCAAATCCTCTCTTATTTTAACCAATGCTCCTTTTTTTCTTGCTGTGGAAAAGCCGGGCCCTCCAGTTCTACCAACGTTTCTGGGGAAGACCGGAGCAAGCTCACAAACAGCAAATCAGTCTATAGCTGTGTGTACGTGTGTGTGCGTGTGCGTGTGCGTGCGTGTGCGTGTGTGTGTGTGTGTGTGTGTGTGTGTGTGTGTGTGTGTGTGTGTGTGTTCATTAACATGCCACAGCAGATGAAGAAAACAGAGTCATATCAAGATTCAGAGGCTTGCTTTTGCTTACACTCCAAATTCAATTGACTAAAAAGCAAGGAGAGAGCAAAAGACCTTACTGATCTTTTTAGGCAGAAAAGAAGCCCTGTGGCTCGTTTGTGAACATACCTTCAACACCCCAAGGAAACCCAAGCAGTCGGCTGAGTAGGTTCCGAATGGCCACTTCTTGGAAAAAATAAAAAGTCAGAGTGGGGAACCTTTCTTTCTCAATGGGAGACCTTTGAGAAGAAATCCTGGCTCCTTGAATGGCTGAGATCAGTCCGATTAACTTTTTTTTTTTAAACAGGAATTTGTCTTGAGGGTTCGAAATATTTAAGGGAGGCAGAGAAGGGGCTCGAAGTAGGAGAAAGAAGAAAGAAAAATGGTACCATATGGAGCTAATTAAAGCATCCCTTCCCTCATTAATGCCAGAGCCACTGCCATTTCTCTTTGAAGTCTCTCTTCGTGAAGGACTTGGTGCTAATTATATTTGATGTTTTAACTAGTGTCGGGTGGTTAATATATTTATCTGCCCTCGATAGATAAACCAGCTTAGTGCTGTGCTGTGTTATTATTTTAGCTTTAAGTGGGGAGGAAAGCTGAATAATATTGTTGGTATTATTATCATTATCATTATTTAATCATTGTGGTTGTTTCAAATTTCACACCAGATGCTGCATTATCTCCTCTGACATTTTATTTGGGTTTCTGGGAAGAGGTTAGTCAGCCCCACTGCTAATAAAGTCAAGTGAGCCAGCTTGTCAGGTGCCCAGACTCACAATATCACAAACAGCTTGTTTTTGCTGTCGGTGGATTAAAAATAAAAGGCTTAGCATCGCTCAGACACACTTTGGATTTGAGGCACTACAACGCTGCCTCTGCTGTCTAGGCCTTCCTGACATGAGGTGGATTCAGTGCGATCCTCTCTCTGGGACTGCCGTACGGAAGGCCATATTTTTCCCAGGGCCTTGTATGGGTGGGGTTTTGCCCCAGATCCTGACTGGAGAGCCAGGGCAGAAGCAAGGGCTCAGCCCCCAAAGCCTCTTGTTATGAACACAAACTCCCAAGGGGGTTGTTATGTCAAGTCTCTTGCCAGAAAAACAGCACCCTTGTGACATCTTAAATTTAGCAAGTTTCATCCTGCATCGAGGCTACAATTCATATAAACTCTGGTATCCCGCCTGCCCTCCCATGGATGAAAACAACTGAGCGGAAAGTGTCTAGATTAGCAAGGAAGAAGAGCAGAGGCTGAACCCTAACCATCAGGCCTCACAAGGCCAGGAGAGATGGGACACCTTCATGTTTTTGCATTTCTGATTATTTTTAAGAATGTGATCAGAGTGGATGGGAAAAGCCTGAGTATCTTCTTCATTATTTTGACTGTTTCTCCAATGTGGGCCGGCCATAGACCAACCTGCTCCAGTCGCCCCTTGGGCAGAGGTAACACATCACTCTGTTCCAGGTGCTCTTCAGCAGCTCCTGTACTATCAGAAGGGAAGGAGGAAAGAGTGAACAACTCGTGTGTGTGTGTGTGTGAGAGAGAGAGAGAGAGAGAGAGAGAGAGAGAGAAGATGCCCTTTCAGGTTCTCACCCAGAGGCTCAGGTAGCCTCATTTCAACTCTCCTCTCCCCTCCCTCCCTCCCTCTCTCCCTTCCTCTTCTCTTCTCTTCTCTTACTTCCTTTGCAGGAGCCAGCGTAATGTAGAGGTAGCACAAGAGTGGATGAGACAACTTGGTGACCACCTGGAGCTTCAGCACTTCATCCAGAACTGCCACGAGGTACACACTGTCGCTGCTGCTGCCCAGGGGAGGGGAGGGGAGGGGAAGGAAGGAAGGCTGTATTTTCATCCTTTGGGATGAAACGGATCATCTGGGATCATTTTGGCCATTCAGAGCTGTGAATTCCCATCTAGAGATTCAGATGAGACATAAACAAGCAGGACAATCCTTCCCTACCTTGTGGCATGCATCAGTCCCGCCTGGGAAACCCTCTCCTGCTTCATCCTTGTGTGTGGGTAAACTGGCTCTTAGAGATTTCAGGTGCAGCTTTGCCCATGCATCTCACTCAGCTTTCAGGGCGAGGGGCTGAAGGAACCGATGCCAAGGAGATGAAAGGAGAAGGAGACCCAAGAGCCAAGGCGTCAAGGACATGCCTCCCCACTCTAAGGGAATGATTATAGCTTCTTTTCCTCCGTAGATTCTCGCTGGCAATCAATTTCCATTTCTGTCCACACCCACTAAGCAGCCAATTTCCATTTTCTCCTAATTAAGGTGGCATTTGTGTTCCTTGCCTATGCTAAATCTGTGTGCCAGTTCCCCACCCTCTGACATCATACCCTTCCGCCTACGGGTGATTGAAGAGGGTGCTCTCTCGTGGAGGAGAGATTGCAGTGGCAGAAACAAGTCTTCTGTCCTTTCCGTCTGGGGGGCTGAGAGAGGCCACACGAGACATGAGTGTTCCCTGGTCTGCAAAAATAAAGGAGGCAGTGATCCTTAAAGTGGAAGGGTTCGAGGTAGTCTGGAGGTAGCCGGACGAAGTTAGAAAGCAGGGTGAGGGATGCTAAGCGTGCAAGAGTGGCATTCTGAATCCTAGGCTGCGGTAATACTTTTATTAGCCCCCCAACTCACCTGAGAACATATCAGTGGGTGTTCTCCTGTGACATTGTAGGAAGTTCATCCAAAATAAATTAAAGCCTGTTATTTTTGCTTTGAACCAAAGAGACCCCCCAGCCCACAAATGGGAAGAACAAGCAAGAACACCCGTCCCATGTACAGTATTCCAGAAAACAGGCTGGGGGGCGTGAGACAAGGTAGTGATCACATCCCACCAATTTTCTTGCCTCTGGTTGATGAACTTGCAATATTTTCATTTCTTTGGTCTTTCTGGCCTTCTGGATGTTCATTGGACTTCTTCTTCTTCCCCATTTGCAAAAGGTCGGAAGGAGAGAGAGAGAGAGAGAGTTGGAGGAGGGCAGGTAGCAGCCTTTGAGTCTATGGCCAGCAGAGACAAGCTCCAGAAGCCCCTTATGACCAAGCCACTTTCCCTGGGCATGGGTTTTGGTGGACTACAACCTGCTCCTTCCGATACATGGAGAGTGGCCTTGGTAGACAAGACATTGGGGTTTGGAAAGAAGATGGAATGTCATGGAAACCAAAGAGGTCCAGCATGAGGATGGTCAGTCAATGGCCATGAATGGGTATTGACCACCCCTGAGGATAACAGAAAGAGATCTGAATGGTGCTTAAGAGTCACCCACAAAGTCTCCTGTCACCCATCAATGGCCTCTAATTCATTCTTCACGGCTGCCATTGAGACTTTTGTCTGTCACCCCACCAAATATCAACAACCCTTAATGGCCACCATAGAGGACTACAACTCCCAGAATCCTCTCCAGGCGGCTACACTATGGACTGACCATCATCATGCCAGATCCTAGTCATTTCTCTTCCACCCTCTATCCCTCCCCACCACCCACAGGTACACATGTCTGTCTGCTTCAGGTGCCTGATGCAGTGGGCAGTGGTCCAGGGAAGCTTAGTCCAAATAAACCCCGTGAGCCTTCAAGGGGCTTCTATAGGACTGTTGGATTCTCTGCCACAGATTTAAGAGGGCTGCAGGCACCCTGGGGGAAAAGGATCCACGGGGTCTCTCTCTTGGCCCTTTGCTGCCCACTCTAGCCTCTTCCGCAGCTGGCAGGAGGGGGGGAGCTTCCTCTTTGCATGGAGCCCCTTTTCTCCCCTATGTCTAGGCCTGTAGTGCCCCCTCCCTGACTGTTTTCCTTCCTGATGAGGGGAGCTGTTCCTAGCCAGATATCCTTCCTTTATGCCAAGGGGCTTCCTTTTGGGGAGGTAGAATGAGCCCTCCTGTGGGTCCAGAGTTGGGGGCCAGAAATCGTGAAACAAAGAGGGAAATCCCCTCCATTAAAGTTCCCTAAAGGGGTCCACAGGTGGGGGCAGGAGGTGGAAAATAGGGCAGGAAAAGGGAGGTGCGGGGTCTTCCTATGCTGGGGAAGGTCTCTCTCTCTCTCTCTCTGTCTTTCCTTAATGGGGGAGCGAGCGAGGCTCCAGGCTCTGGAGGAATCCTTCCTCCCTCCCTCCCTCTCCCCCTCCCCATCACAAGAAGCCAGCCGGTCGGCGCCCCCGCTTCCCTGTCCTTAGAAGCGGCTGGCAGGAGGCGAATTGAGGTGA